AGGATAGGAAGAATGAGAGAGCAAGAGCTAGTAACACAAAGTTTTTCATGCTAAAGCTTGCAAAACTCAGTGACAAAACTAGACACTAGCTGCCTCATATTTATACTAGTCTGCATGTTGCTGCATGCCTGCATGATTTCCTAAAAAGATCGTACCAAATTTTAGTTTTAGTGTGCATGTATCTTGACACTTGCATGTAAACAGCACACACCATCAAGTACCCATATAACGGTTTTCAATAAAAACATGAATGTTGTCTTACAAAAAAAATAACTTGATAAACTTGTATTAAAATACCATCGAGATGTTAGTTTCAACAAAACAAATCCAATAACACAACTTTAATAAACAATTTGGGATAAGATATGTTTTGTAAATTGTCACTTAAAGGCTAAATAAACTTATGGCCAAACTAACATGTCAAGCAGGACAAATAATGCTGTCCCACATCCATATAACTGATGTTTTGCTAAAATAGGCATCGTACATCAGGTTGCTAATCTACATGCGCTATGTACGAGTACAGTAGCATAGCATTATCCTTTTAAGTACTTCACGTCACTAAGACTTATAATTTGTACATGTATGTACATGCACTGACACTCCCTCATTATCTTACTAATATTAATAATTCATCTTTTATCAAACTGTAAAGGAGATGATGCTATTTCCCAAGGAGAGCTTTGTTGTAATGTGAAGAAATAACTTCAAAAAATGTAATAAAAATACATGTGTGTACTGTATAGACACAACATCGACTATTAAATTCCTTTGGAAGATTCTTTTTCAGCCATTTTTGATGCATGCAGGGTTTTTGGCTCAAGTCTTTGTGCAGTGATGTGAGTGTATCATTGCTGGTGATTTAATTGGATATTTTTTGATTCATTGTCTAAAGAATGAAAACGCTTATATGCTACACTAATAAAAAGCTTAAACTCAGCTACAAAAAAGAGGAGTCCATTAAAAATGATCACATCAGCTTTCAATGAGGATTGAAGAATATCAATTTGACCTTCTTGTTGAACAGAAACATCGTGAGGCTCCATACCGGCTACCCTTGCAAAGGACATTGAGGGGGTGGCTTCCATTACAATTACAAGCATAACACAGACCAAACAATTTCTTTCTTCTATTTACTAGGCTCCAAGTATGTGATAGTTTAGGCCATTTTTTCTCTTTTGTCCAAGAAACCTGTATATTTGTGACAAGAATGAATGGATGAGAGAGAGAGAGAAAAAAGAAAATAATTTTGTTATTACTGGACTATTACTGTTAATATCACCTTGCACTTTAGCCATTTACAAGAGACTTCCTTAAGCTGCCAGTATGCATAAACATTGATACTTCCTTTAGTTTTACCATATACTTCAAAGCATGCATTAGCATCCTGTGATGATGAGCCACAGACTGAAGTTGATGCTTCTGGATTTATGGTATAGGATATGGAGGCTGAGACTGCCATACCTATTCTGTATATGAGCTAATAGAAAAAGAAAATCAAACAAAAAACTCTGACATCCCAGTTTCCTTTTCACTCTTGTCTCACCAATATATTAGCTGAAGCATCTCCTTTAATAGTAAGAGTAGGTCCTGTCTCAAGCATTGCTGATGCCTTCATATTAACATCATTATCCAAACGGGCAATAAATGCATCAAACTTCATTTGTCCAGATATTTGACCAGTGAGAGTGAGATCCAGAGTACCTACATAAATAAAGAAGCTATACTTTGCTTGGAAAAGAGGAACTGTCTTTTGCCACGAGCGAGTGTGCTTGAATGTCTTTGTAGTTTTGCTCATTTTATTTAAGAGTGTGGAACCAACTATCTTAATGTAACGCTTATATGTCAAAGTGCTGACAGAGTTACGGTCTGGGAAGTCTCTCACATATGAGAACATTATGTCAAGTGCAGTGTAAGTTTTTTTCCAGACAACAAGATCAAACCTTCCTCGTGCATACAGTTTGATACCAGGAATACCAACACCTCCAAACCCCCCTGCTGCTATGTCAGCATGTATTTCA